TAAAAAGAATTTGCAACAGCATCTGACATATTGATGGTATTTTACTATTACATGTTACATTTTTAGTTAAAGATCAAAATTGATTTATATGTCATCAGATATTGTGGTCAAGCATTTTATGCAAGTTTTGATGTTAGTGCTACTTGCTGAAGGAGAAACATCCAGGAGTTGGTGGGCATTTTAATTCTGCAGAGTAAAACTTCATTGAGCAATAAGCCCCTATTTTGGAATTTATGGTCATTTAGGAGCAATTTTATTTTCCAGTGTTTGTGAAGGCAATGATTTCAGGCAAATACATAAAAGGTATTTTTGAACAGCATAAGGGAAAAATATTTGATAAAATTAAATTGCTCTAGGAATATTCATTAGCACATAAAAATAAAGGCGCATTCATATATAAATTTTATTTTAAATGGTTCTTATTTGTATATTACAGTGCATCCAGGAAGCCATATACTTGATAATACTTTACTAGTAATTGGTAAGTTTGTGCTATTGTATCATCCCCATCAACTTTATTCCACCACCAACACTGGGCTGTGCAAACCAGAAATGCATGAGCCATCCTTGAATTCTTCCCTCTCAGTCCCCCATCCCATCTGTCACAAAGGTTAGCCAGTTATCCCACATAACTCCAGCCACTTCTCTCCATCTTCAGTCACTATCCTAATTCAGACCAAAATCACCTCTCACCTGGACTCCTGCAATAACAGATCCCCTACAGCCATTACTGTCTTCCTCCAGGGTGATTCACACTCATCTTGCCACTCCTCTACAATAGATCAATGGTCCCAAATTACTTCTGCTCAGCTTTCTAACCACGTCACCCTTAGAGCTCACTGACCCTTGTCCCCTAGTCTTACTGCTCTCCCTTCATTCTTCATCATGCTCTCCTCTCTTGGCCCAGGATATTTGTACATACTTACTGCATTTCTTCTTCCTGGAATACTCTTCCCTCAACTCTTCATCAGGCTTACCCATCTTTCAAATCTGAATTGAAGAATCTCTTCATGAGGCACGCTTCATCCAAATCCTCAAACTGAGTTATTTGCACCAATTATGGATTCCTACTATCCTATTTTTCCCACTTCACAGTACACGCTCCATCTTTATTACGTCTACAATGGTTCCTTCCCACTCTGGAGTGTAAGCTCCAAGTAGATAAGGACCACATCTGTCTTTTCAACACAACACCCGCGTGCTTATAGAAAATGTTTGACGTAGAGTAGGTGCTCACCATATATTTACTAAATAGATGAATGACTATTATAGTGAAGGTTAATAGCACGTGGCTAGTGATGGCTTTTAGTCAGCATTTATATACTTCATATTCAGAGATGACTTTGAATGATGATCTCTTAAGGGTGCTTACCTTTTGCCTTCTCATTGTATTTCTGGGATCATGGAGGATGTTCTCTAACAATGGACCCTCCCTTTGCACATCACTGTTCCAATGTTCACATCCCTATGCAGTGTTGTCAGCAAAGTCTTCCAGAGAGATGTCTTAGTCTTAGTGTTGATTCAGCTTTTCAATAAGGATTCACTTGAGGTATACGTTGAAATCAGGTTTCATAACTAGTAGGGTTATCTCTTTAACTACATTAGTTACAACTACCGGTAAGAGATATCCCAGAGATGTTACCACACCAAGAACATAAATAACCTTTTATCTTTTTTCCTTTTGATTACTGCTGGATCTTGACTATATTTTCTTCTTAACCTTCCATTAATTCCCTTGAAATATATGCTCCTCTCTTCTCAGGCTTAATCTATGATAAATGTACCAAATTTATGTCCACTCAGTCTTTATAGATTAATGCTACTAAGCTTTGTTTGCTTTCCTGTCCATTCATTACACCTCATTCATTAAAATTTGCCAATCTTATTAATCACATGCCAAATGCTACGTATGTATTTGTAATTCTACAACAATCAAATGAAGAAGGTAGTATTATTATTTTCATTTTCATAGAAGAGGGAACTAAGGTTTGGAGACGGAAAGTGACCTGCCCAAGTCACGAAGGTTACTAAGTATTTGAGCTGAAATTTGAACCCAAAGTAGGCCTCTAGTTCCCGGGCCATCATCATTTTCAGTGGATGATGGTATTTGTGGTTTTGTTCTGTTTAATGAGTTTTAGTCTTTAGCCTAAACTGAAGTGAGCCTAAGTAGGAGGGGCAGGCAGTGTGGAAGGTGCCCTGTGGATAACCAGGGGTCAGAAGGAAAACCCTTTTTGAGGTGTTGTCTAGAGGAAGAGATTTTTAGGGCTTCACCTTGGTTTGCCTGGGGTTCAGGAACCCTCTGGGTATAATGTCAACAATCTGAACTTTGTTTTCCCTCCTATATAGCAGTTTGTGTAAAAGATTCCCATTGTGTATGAGAGAGGGAAAGTGGAAAATTGGTCATTTTTCTCCGCCATTGGTATACATTTTGATTTCTGTAAATCTCAACCCAAGTAATTACAGAATTACAGATAGGAGAGCTACAGATTTCAATTCTCTTCCCTGGGCCTGGGGAGTGGAGGGTGGGGGGTGGGATGGTGGTGGCGTGTGTGTATCTTTGGATGGACTACTATGAGCCTGACAGCCCTGTAAGAACCCGGGCTGGAGATCTGCACTGTTCGTGGTGCTGTCTTACCTGCCTCTAAGGCAGAAACTCCCTTAATCTGTGAAGGCACAGGGCTCTCCCTTCCTGCTGGCCTTCCAGCCCTGGGGAGCTGTAGGCTTCCTGCCTCCCAGCTCTTCACACTTCCCTCTGAGTCATCCCCTAAGCTGCCCAGAGTGAGCCTCTGATCCAGGCAACAATAAGGACGTCAAGAAGTAAATGGGTCAAGTGCAGCTCAGACCAGGACCCGGAGGGGTCCTCGGTGCTGTGGAGACTGCGAGCCAGCCGAGCAACCCGGGCTCACTACCGCCTATTCCAGTGGTGGGCGTCCCCTTCTCACCCCAGACACCAGCGGGCCAGCCTGGTGCAGGGAGCGCCTGGCCCCTCTCCCCCCTCCCCCCCTGCGGCTACCAAGGGCTCCCGAGCCTAGGGAGTTCCCCCGCAGGGACCAGCCAGCAGTGGGCAAGGTGGGGGACCTGGGAGTCAAAGCTGTCTGGTTAGGGAAGCAGGTTTTGGAGTCCAATCCTGGTTCCACTTCTAGCCACCGGGTGATCTTGGGCAAGTTACTTAGCTTCCATGGGCCACTTTCTAAATCCATAACATGGGGAAACTAAGGTGATAGCTAATCTAGGATAATTGTAGACATTAATTAATGAAGCACTCCTGGCACATAGTAGGCGCTCAGCTAATGGTAAAGATGGTTGGTAGGAGAGGAGTTCGAAGTTAAGCTTTGGTGTCCAGCAAGTAGGTTAGACCTAAGACTCCTAAAGGTATTCACCCAGGGGAGGGGGAGGGGTAGCGGGAGCAGCTGCCCTCCACCCTGCTTCCAGGATAATCCCAGAGGGCCATTCCTCCAGGCTCCTCCAGAAGGTCAGGATGCCCCGAGCCTGGGGGCACCTCGGGGCGGGGTGTCAGTGGCACGTCTCTCCACCTGGGGCTGCGGAAAGACTCCTTCCACGAATTGAGTGTCTCCCTCCCGCTCCAGCCCCCGAGCGCGCTCCCCGTCTCCTCGGGGTCTCGGCGGCCGAGGCTTGCCCGATCCGGTCTCAGGCGGAAACGAAGAGGCAGCTTCGGGGTGTGCCAGTCCCTCCGAGCCCCTGGAAAGGGAGAGAAGGCGAGTTGTGGTGCAGAGCACCTGGAGATCGCGGTGCCCCGGGCGGCCCCAGAGCCCCTCCCCATTGTGCCTGCCTTCTAGGGACCACTCTGGCTTTGGGCACAGCCCCGGAACAGCCGGTGTCCCCGCCCGCCCCCTCCCTTCCCCTGCCCTCCCGGCTGGGGGCGCACGCGGCGGCAGTGGGCGGCAGCGCAGCCCCGCGAGGTAAGGAGGGGCGGGCGCGCCCGGGGACTGAGCCTGCACGTGCGCGCGTGTGCGCGAACCCCGAGGGGGCGTGGGGCCCGCGGGGCGCATCCAGCTCCGCCACCTGCCCTCCCGGTACCGCCCGAGCCCTCTCGCACCCTCCTTAGGGTGCTGCCTCTTTCCATGTCCTACCCGCCCCCCTTCAAACCCCACTCTCCCTGCTAATAGTCCCCCACTGCAGTCAGACTGAAACCTGGAGAGGCAGCGCTGCCTTCTCTCCCCTCGCCCCCCCTCGCCCTTCTGCTATAAATAATCCCGACTAGCGGGTCAGCCACGTCACACCGGGAGGAACCGGGACCCCGAGGGTTTCTTCTCAGGGAATAGGGGGCAAAGGGTGAGGAGCAGGATAAAGACATCGTTCGTGAGTAGTAAAGAAAAGCTTGCTCCTTGACTCCTAGGGGAAAATAGGCAGCATTTTATATTTTATTCTTCTCTTTCTCTGGCTTCCTTTTTTATTGTTCCGTGTCTTTTTTATTCTCTACTCCTCCCCCCCCCACCCCGCCCTAAATCCAAAGGATTGCTCAACACTCCTCCCATTGGTTTATTTTCTCCCTCCCCCTTCCACTCCTGCTCCCACCACCCTCCCCTCCCCCCACCGCACAACCCCCACCTCCACTATCCTCTGGCCCCAGGCAGGGGATGCTATTCGCCATGGAAATAAAGTTCAAACTCCTCTCCCCATCTGTTTGCTGAGACCAGAAGTGGTCTCCCAGGAACCCGTTTTCCGCTCGCACTCCACACCTGCTCTCCCCTAAATTTCTAATCTGGTTTTGCATATTTAAGAGGACACACACACACACACACACACACACACACAGGCAACCTACAACCCGCGAGGTGCAAAACTGCCTCCTGCAACTACCGAAACTTACCAGCTGCTCTAGTTGTTTTTGTCTTAACGGGAGGACAACAAAGATTTTTTACTCCGGGTCCTCTTGCGGGGTGATTTTTTTTATAGTATTCAAGTATGTATATAGTATGCATATGTATGTTTTTCCTTTTTCCCCTTTAATTTATTTTTATTTATTTTTCTTAGCAAGAAAATCTGCTAGGTCCAAGGCAGCCGCCGCTGCCCCTTTGATGTTTTGGTACGCCGTGCGCATGCGCCTCACATTAGAATTACTGCACTGGGCAGACTAAGTTGGATCTCCTCTCTTCAGTGAAGCCCTCAATCCCATCAAAAACTAAAGGGATGTGGAGAGTTCGGAAAAAAGGCTGCTTTGGGATCTGGCCATTCCCCTTGCTAATCGCCGCTGTCTGTGCGCAGAGGTAAGTGTGCCTAAGGCTTCCGTTTTTTCCTTTTACACTTTGAAGGGCTCTGCATACCTCGGTGAACCGGGATCGGTGGGGAGGATCAGATAGACGCTGAGGACGCCGTGCCTGCTGCCTGACTGATGCCTACTTATTGTCTTTTCTTCCTTTAGTGTCAATGATCCTAGTAACATGTCACTGGTTAAAGAGACGGTGGATAGACTCCTGAAAGGCTATGACATTCGTCTGAGACCAGATTTTGGAGGTAAAGGGGTTGCCGTGGAAATAAGAAACAACCCAGCGATAGCCTCCTAAGCTGTCATTTGAGCGTTGTGCTGGCTGTCTCTTCCCTCTCCCTCATCCTGGTGAATGGCATGTGTCTCAGTGTTACCATATTGAGACACTGACCCAAACTTAAACCGGCTGGTTACTAGATGGTCTCTCAGTGAGAGAGACCCTCCTAGCATGTACTGCTGCTTGCTGTCCTTCGGCTTCACAGTTATAAATCCTTTGCTTCACTGCCATTGCCTCATTCAGTTACAAATCTCAAGTTTAGTTAATGGTGTGCCCAGAGAACCTGGCTTAGTGAAGGCTGCGGTGAACATTTTGGAGGACAAGAAGTGCAGACAATTGGTTGAGAAGTGGCATTAACCCCCTGTGCCCGCCTACTTTGGAAGAGTTCTGACCACCGTTTAAAGTGCCTGGTGTCTGGATATTATCCAGTCCTGGGAGCCTCACTGCAGGGACAGTGGAATGGGGAGGGGGGGGATTGGAGGGTGGGGAGAGGACTTGAGGAGCTTGGAGGGGAAGCAGGGAGAAGGGTCAGAGACCTCTTTCGCTGCAGCCTGAGAAACCTTGATATGCCCATTTAATTTTGCTTCAGAGTCTTATGAAGCTCGGAGAGTTAAAACCTGCACACAAAAGCTGTGGGGGTGAATGAGGAGGAGGGTTTCAAGGCAATATATAAAATTCCCTTGGGCTGGAATGTTCCTGTGCTTCTGTGAGTTGTGTGTATGCTCCTGCTGAGGCATCTACATGTGTAGACAGAGCTGGAATCCCTCATCCCTCAGGACACGTGTGTGCCTGTTCAATACAGTATTTCCTAGAGGAGCTCCTGTCACCCTTTTAGAAAAGCAGGACTTGAAGGGTTTGAGGGTGAGCCATGGGGAGGGACTTGGGGCAGAGTGTCCCATGCCCGGGGACAACTCTTGCTAAGAATGAATGAAGTTCTGAGAAATCACGTGGCTGGCCCTCTTGGTTTGCAGGTCCCCCCGTGGCCGTGGGAATGAATATTGACATTGCCAGCATCGATATGGTTTCTGAAGTCAATATGGTGAGTACTGAGGTTTATGACCGTGTCTCCTCAGACATTCATTGGGGACAGGGAGGAGAAAGGAGCCAGGGTGTGTGTGGCTATGTGTGTGAAGCGGGGGCAAGGACGGGATTTTTGCTTTGCAACCCCGTGTGTTTGTAGTTTCAGAGCCAGCTCTTTCTAGTCCCTCCAGATTTTTCCAACTTGATTCAACTACTTGGGACTTGGCATAAAGCAAGTAAAATGCAGCACACGTTCACATGCAGGAGACCCCTGCAGAAGCCACATTTCCTAAGGTCCTATTAGAAACCAGGTTCATCAAATAAATTTCTGGGTTTGGGGTGGGGTTAGCGGAAGAGGGGAAGGTTTTGATTTAACATGTAAAAGAGAATATTACCTACAAATTAAACTGTTGCAAAGAGGCTGAATAAATTCCCCAGGCAATATTCACATCCACTTGTTGCTTTCAGCGATGCCCTCTTTACTAAGGGCAAGCCCCCCTCCAGCTCCTTTAAGCCTCCTGATCACCAAAATAAATAAAATAAAATCGGTCACCCTTGTGACCCATGTGTCATTTGCAGTCATTTCTGCAATGTTATTCACCTGATGTCCTCAGCTTGTACAAGTTACTGATAGCGGCACTCTTTCGTGGCTGCCTCCTTGGACTTGGGGCAAGTGTTAACAGAAGAAGGCTGGGTGTTCCAGACTAGGAAACACTTGTGGGGGGGTTAGCCTCATGCAGCTCCGCCCCCTGCTGCCCATGTGGGGGCACTGCAGATACACAAGACAGACAAGTGTCCCAGATACCCCCACTTACTTTGGAGTTTTCTACTCCGTGTTTTGAAGTTTTCCCCTTCAAAAGTTTCTCCAAGAAGGGCACATGTGATTGCAGTCTTACTTTCAATTCTGATAGCACAAAGCACATTTCTCAGAAGATTGTGTGGTGGCATGGTTCTGCCTAGAAATGGAATGCACTGTTGAAGAGAATGTTGCACCTGAGGTTTAATGCAAACACTTCTAAGCCAGCCAGCAGGATTTGAAATTTAGAACACATATCAACTAATCAGCGGTTCTCAACCTGTGGGTCGCGAACAATGAAAATACATCCTGCATATCAGATATTTACGTTACGATTCATAACAGTAGCAAAATTACAGTTATGAAGTAGCAACAAAAATAATTTCATGGTTGGGGGTCACCACAACATGAGGAACTGTATTAAAGGGTCGTGGCATTAGGAAGGTTGAGAACCACTGAACTAGATCCAAAGTACTCTGTAGTGGACATGCTTTCCACATTACACTAATTTTCATAGTCCCAGAATTCAAATAAAGAGGAAGCTCAAGTAGCCATCCTCGTTCCCCTGTACACTGTCCAAAGATAGGTGATAACCCTGCGGTATTAAAAGATTCTGAAATAGCTTATGACTGCTGGAGGGAATATTCAACTCCAGTGTGTCCCCAAAAATGTATACACACACTGAATAATTATAAAGGCAGTGTTTATTAAAATACATTTCATTTTCAAAACTGACACCCTCCATTAAGGACATGCATCTTCTTATTTTCTAATTATTTGGCAAGATTTGACCCTATAGGACATAAACACAGACTTAAGGCAATCTTGAATGATTCAGAAACTCAGATTTCCCACACATTTTGTAAGTCTCATGTGGGTAGAGAATGCTTGTTTCTTAGGAAACTAATTTTTCATATATACAAATGTCCACTTTTGTGGGACTTTAGAGGTCTTTCATCAGTGTATATTTTGAGTTTTACCATAAAAAATTAAAAATGTCCTAATGTGGGTGCTTCCTTAATCCCAGGTACTTGAATCTAAATTGTGTTGCTAAAACAAAGTAATATAAAAATTAAGTGTGGTTCATTGTGACTGAATTAGAGTCCTCTCTTTTGCATTTTGATTTATTTATGCTCTTTTCTCCTCCCAAATTTATTTTACCACCTTCCCCTTTATAGGGTCACAAGCACAGGAATTTATGGAAAAAAATAAGAAATATTTAAAATCCAGAGACAGTGGTGGCATAACTAGAAGTTGCTACAATAGATTAAGAACTTAGATGTATTATATCCCAAATAGTTTGGTACAGGATTTTTCTTTTCTTTTTTTTCTTGTTAAGCTTTGTTCATTTATTTTACCTGTATGCAGCATTTTGGGGAGGTATCTGAATTGGACACAATGCCAAGACCTGCTAGTCAAAATATAGACCCAGCTAAGGCGAGGTGTCATCTTTGAAAGTTATTTACTGTTGCTGAAAAATCATGGGATGCTGAAAGTGTAAAGACAAATGTCAGGTTGTAAATAGGACAGTGGTGCAGCATTAATGACTAGAACCCAGTGTTAAAACCCCTGCCAGACCCATTCTTAGCCCGGTGCTTACACGTGGACTTGTCCAGACACATTCTGACTTGTAAAATCAACTTATTTCAGCTAGCAATCGTAGTGACCTTGCATTACTCCTCCAAAGAAACATTTTGTGATGTATGCTAGTTTATGTAAACATGGTTATTTGATTCAAAGCAGCAGATGGAAAAGTCCATAGCTAGTGTCTCAATAAAATAACATGTGTGTGGCATTCTGCCTCCTGTGTACAGGTCTATAAGGATTAGGATTTTCTTTTTATTAGATTCAGTTCTGGAAGAACGGTTGATTGATTAAGAGAAACCTCAAAATTGATTAACACCCATGTTTCTGCCTTATCATCCTTTGTGGCCTGCAACCTCTGGTGATTGTAACTTGCTTTTATTTTAGCAAATCTCCCTTTGAAGAATGGTGGGCACTAGAGTCCATTCACATTGCTATTGACTCATTTGTACCAAAAGGAAAAGGTCCGTGTCCTTGTGGTGATCCTGGCAGATGACAATGCTAGAAACACTTTGACCTGAGCCAGGAGTCTTGGCTGCTAGCTCTGCTTCTGCGGTTCCGTCACCCTGAGAGAGTGACTCACCTGGTAAAGGGGACTAGTAGTCCTGTTTTACCTATCTCGGGTGACCACCAGAATTAATGAAAGGATGTAGGTGGAAGGTATTGGTGTTCTGTGAGGGGAGCCTATATAGAAGACTTAACGCCCGGCTATCACTCAAGAGACCCAGTGTCCACTTAGCTGCTACCCTAAGTGAGGTTGGGTCAGGCATGTACATCACCGTGTCTCAGTTTCCTCATGTTTGAAATGACAGAGGACATATGAACTTGATTTACAACTCAAGGTAACACGTGACTCTGGTCTGGTTTATTAATATAGCTCTGTTGGGTACGAAGAAGTTCTAGGAAAATCAGCACAGACGAAGGAAAATGCAGAAAACCTAAATGACATGCAGTCCCGAGTCCTTGCTCAGGAGGGTGATGATGGCATCTTACGTGGCCATGTGACTCAGGTTGGCTCAATGGAACATCTTTGGAGGAACGTGGCATCAATTAGAATGTTCCTGAGCAGAGCGCTTGGCTTTCGAGTGACATATTTTTAGATGTCTTGGTTAAACTGGCAAGAATCTTTTTGTTAAGATTCTTGATGAAAAGTGCATTTTAAGATCCAAAATTGGCTCTGGGGATTAGGGACTGAAATAGCTTTCTCTTCATTTAAAGCAGATCCTTCCCCGTCTTGAAACAACACATTTGCCATCCAGAGAGGGAAGCAATATTTCACTTTTGAGGAAAGAGTTCTAGTAAACACAAACACAAATTACCTTCTTATGGGATGGCAAGTGGAGAAAAGCACTGCCTTACAGACACAACAAAACAAAAAACCCAGATGTTTTCTTTTCCAGCTGCAAAGTTTAAAATTCACTTCAGCACAAATACTTATTTAGTGGCTACTCTGATCCTGCCATGTGTTTGGCTTAGGAGCAGAGCAGTGAACAAGGCCAACTTGTCCCCTCCCCTCATGAAACTTAATATAGAGGTGTTCACTATTGATAATCCTGCAGGCTTCTACAGTACTTATACTCACTGTAAGTCTTATCTTCTCCCTAGAACTTTCTCTGAGCATCCAGTGAGTACCTCATGGTCTGTGTCTCCCATGGGTTTCTTTGTGACTTGTTGACTCCTACATCATTCATTTGTTATCTGATGGTTCAAGTTGCTTTATATTTACATATTTATTCTACCCTAATTTATATTTATAAAATACACAAAGACAAGGTTATTCTGTCTCTCCCTGTGGTTTTGACTATATAATGGTTGGTTGGATGTTTGACTCCTGGTGAATGCCACAAATATTGGGTGAAGTATTTGTTTTTAAGGCAGTGATTTGTTATTATTCACTAGATATTAGACCATATGTGTGGAGATAACCAAACATAGAATCATAGTTCTAAATGTCAAGGCATTTTGCTGTTTAAATTAACAAGTGTTGAAAGAATCACAATGTAGGATCATCAGTGCTTTGAAAGATGGAATATTGAGAATATGGAGTACTGAGGTATTACACAGAAATTAGGTAGGTGAAGACAGGAGTTACAGGTCTCTGGATATATGTTCCATGCATAAAGGTGGCATAGAGGAGAATAAGACACAGGAAAATACAGATTTTCATGTAACAAAATGGCTGGAGTTGGGAGTAGCTGTGAGGAGGTGGTAATGTTGGTATTGAAATCGGAGGTGGTGATCAGATTCAGAATACCATTTTTGTGGCTTGCTGAGGAGTTTAATTTTTATTCCCAAGTCTGTAGGGACCCAGGAAAGGGTGTCCATAGGAGAATCACAGGAACAGATTCACACTTCAGGGTGAATTGAAGTGGAACAAGGCCTAAGGTTGGGAGATGAGATGGAAACCCAATGCAAAAATCCAGGAAGGATTGATGAATTAACACAGGGGTGCAAAGGAGATATAAAATCATGGCATTTACAAGGTAGAAGTAACAGGACTTGGTGAATCCCAGATTTCTTATGGTGTCATTTATTGACACATAGAACAGGAAGAGCAACCAAATTGAGAAGGTAGGGGTGGGCAATCTGGGAAATGTTGGCTTTTCTACACATGTGGAATCTCTGAGTAGAGATAGCCA